CCATGTTCATTTCAGCATTATTCACAATAACCAAGATATGGAAACAACATAAATGTCCATTGACAGATAAATGCATAAAGAATATATATCTTGATATATATCTCAAATACATACATGTTATATTATATATAATGGACTATTATTCTGCGTTAATACAGAAGGAAATCCTGCTATTTGCTGTAATGTGGGTGAACCTAAAGGACATTATACCAAGTGAAATAAGCCAGATGCAGAAAGACAAATTTTGTATGATCTCACTTATGTGTGGAATCTAAAAGTCAAACTCTTAGAACCAGAGAGTAGAATGGTTGCCAGGGACTAAGGGGAGGGGAAAATGGGAGTGGTGACGGGGTACAAAATTTCATTTATGCCAGCTGAATAAGTTCTGAAGATCTAATATACTGCAATGTGACTGTAGTTAGCAGTACTCTATTTTAGACTTGAAATTTGCGAAGAGGGTAGATCTGAAGTGTTCTCACCACAAAAGAAAGAAAGACAATGGTAACTATTTGAGGTGATGGATGTTAATTAGGCTGATTGTGGTGATTATTTCACAATGTATATGCATATGAAATCATCAAGGCGTGCACCTTAAATAGGTACAATTTCTAATAGTCAATTATACCTCAATAAAACTGGGGGGGAGGAGAATTGAAAACCGGTATTCAAACAAGTACATATGTATGCATGTTCATAGCGGCACTATTCACAGTAGCCAAAAGGTGGAAACAACCCAAATGTCCATCAACGGAAGAACTGATAAACTGTGGCATTTCCATACGATGGAACACTACTCAGTGGAATAAAGTACTGATTCATAAATCTTGAAAACTTTGTGCTCAGTGAAAGCAGCCAGATGTAAAAGGCCATACATCATAGTACTCCGTTTATGTGAAATATCTAGAACAGGTAAATCCAGAGACAGAAGGCAGATTGGTGGTGACCAGGGACAAAGCCTGGGAGTTCCCTCGGGGTAATGAAAATGTTTTGGAACTAGATGTTGGTGATGGTTGCACAACATTGTGAATGTGCTAAATGCCACTGAATTGTTCGCTTTAAAATGTTTAACTTTATGTGAATTTCTCCTTAATTTTAAAAAATGTGCTTCGATAACATAATTTTTGTAGTAAACTCTCATCCTTCAAGTGAGAATGCCTTTATTCTGCCTGCCTCTTATAGTCTGCATTTTATTTGAGATATAATTTACATATTGTAAAATCCACAAATCTTAAATGTACACCCTGTTTTTCCATGTAAATACTCATGAAACACTCAAATCAAGACAGAACATTTTCATCTCAAAAAGTTCTCTCTTACTGATTTGCAGCCAAACGGTTTCTTCTAAGGCAACTGTTATTCTCACTTCTGTCCTCATTAATTACCTGTATGTTTGGGATTTCATATTAATGAAATAATACATTATGTACTCTTTTGTGTCTTGCATCTTTTGCTCAATATAGTCTGTAAGTTTTACTCATGTTTTGCATATATGATTAGTTCTTTTTTATCTATTGTCGAGGAATATTTCATCTCATGAATACAGCAAAATTTATTTACCCATTCTTCTGTCGACTGACATTTGAGTTGTTCCAGTTTTGAGCTATTGTGAATAAAGCTCTTGTGAACATTCTTTTATAACTCTCTGCACATGTGCTTTCTTTGCTCTTGGGTGCACACGTAACAGTGGACTTCCTTGGTCATGCAGTTCTGAGAAACTACAAAGGATTTTCCAAATGGCTGTACCATTTTACACTTTCACCAGCAATAAGTAAGAGTTAAAGGTGTGTTTGTCTGAAGAAGTCTTTATTTCACTTTCATTTTTGAAAGATAGTTTCACTAGATATGGAATTCTGGGTGACAGTTTTCTGGTTTTGTTTTGCAAGAGGCTCCTTTGTTTTCACCTGGCCTGCGTGGTTTTGGTGAGAAACCTGCTGTTACTCTCATCCTCAGTCCTCTGTAGGTGATATTTCCCCACTCTGGCTGTCTTCAAGATTTTCTTAACTTTGCTTTGCAGCCGTTTGACTCTGATGTCTCTAAGAGTGTGTGTGTGTGTGTGTGTGTGTGTGTGTGTGTGTGTGTGCGCTTTATTCTGCCTTGGGGTTCTCTGAACTTATTGAATCTGTGGTTATTGTCTAATTTTGGAAATTTCTCCACCATTATACCTCTTCATATTTCTTCTACCCTGCACCTTCTCTTTTCCTTCTGGGACTAATTCCACTTATGTCACGTTGTTTGCTATTGTCCCTCAGCTCTTCAATGCTCTGCTCTGCTTTATGCCCCATTCTTTCCCCTTTTGTGTTTCAGTTTGGATAATTTCTGTTGACCTATCTTCAAGTTCACTGATTCTTTCCTCAGCTGTGTCCAGTCTACTGATACACTCATTGAAAGGACGTTTCATCTCTGATATTGTGTTTGTATTTCTGGCATTTCCAATTGATTCTTTTTTTATAGTTTCTATATCTCTACTTAAATTCTTATTTTTTTCGTGCATGTTGTTCACTTCCTAAAAATTTCTTTGACACTTCAATCATAGTTATTTTAAAGTCCCTGTCAGATACTTCCAACATTTGGGTCATCTCGGGTCTGATTCTTTTCATGTTTTATCTCTTGACAGTGGGTCCGGTGTTCTATTTCTCCCTTTTGTGTGTGCGTGTGTGCATCTTTTAAATTGTGGTTGGATGCCATACATTATAGAAGAACATTTAAGACTGAAGTCCCGCACCCAAAAGTAGACATTTCTCTTCTTCTTCCAAGCCATAAGTGGGATGGGGCAGGTCTGAGTCAGGCTTGTGAGAACTTGACCTGGGCTGTGGGGTCTGTTGTTGCTCTCACTCCTTCAGTGCACACAGGCTTTGGGTCCTTCCATGATGGGCTGCTGCGACACTGTGCTCAGTGTGGGGCCTGGGGTGTCTCTCCGTTCCTGCTCCATCCTTCACTTTAGCACCTCTGTATATCCGAGCACATTCTTGTGCACCCTCCAGAGGAAAACTGCTGTTCTTGGCACTCATTGCTAGGCTGGTGTTGAGGGAGGACAAGCCCCAAGTCCCCTGGCCCACCCTCAGTCTTAGGCAGAGCTGTAGGCCTCAGCGTTGGGAATGGGCCTCTGGGTACCCCTGCTTCTGCCTCCGGGACAGCTAAACTCCACTCTGTGTCTGTGGTGGCCCCTGGGAGGGGCCCACCTCCCCCTGGGAGCAGACCTCTGGTGCTCCTGGTGCTGGTTCTCAGACCCCAGAGGTTTTCCCAGGTACGGGCTTTTTCATGTCTCTCCAGAAACAATGCGTCTGTCCAGGCCCTTGGGGCAGGAGTACATGCTGCCCCTCCCAACCACCAGGAGACCTCTGGTCCGCATGCAGGAAGGGAAGCAAGCTGTGTTCTTGCAGGTCCCAGTGGCAGCTGGCCATCTCATGGACACCTACACCGAGTGGCTTTCTCTCTGGCCCCCTGCCCTGCCCCCAGCATTTCTCACAAGCTCCCAGTGGAGGCCAGGGGAAAGACTTACCAGTGAGTGCAAGCCTCCACTCGTCTGGTTTCCCAATATTCTGCACTAGCATGCCAACTGCCCTTGAAGAAGTCACAGAAATTATAGCTGGCCTCTTCCCACCCACTTCTGTTGCATCTCTTCCTTTGTGTTCTGCCAAAGGAGAAACAGCTTGTGCAGGCTCATCACTCTAGTCCTCCATCCATCTGGTTCCATGGGGCCTCAGCATCCATGTGAAATGACAGAGGTATTTTACCGTACCTCTGCACTGTCTCCACACAGTGTCCTGAGTGATCAGCAAGACTCTCCACTCTTGACTGGTTGCCCCAGCCTCCTAGCCCCATGTGAGCTCTGGGCACTATGAAGTCCCACCTGCCATTCTCTTCCCCTCCATGAAACTGTACCCTCTGCATGCATGGCTCAGGATCCAGCAGCAGACTGCAGGCACCAGGCCCCCTGTGTGCCCTCGGCTCCTTTTTTCTGGAGCGCGCTCCTTTTTTCTGGAGCGCTCTCCTTCTGGCATCTACCTTGCAGATTCCAGCTGCCTGTGCTCTTCCTCACGCATCACAACCTGGAAGATGGAGCCCTTATAGGCCTTACCTCATCTGTTCTCTTTACCAGGGACCACAGCCCTGCTCTGCCTTGTGTCCACTGGGAAAACAGTTGCCTCCTGTGTCGATGCATTTACTGCTTGCCTATGGCAGGAGGGAAGTCCACTCCCTGTTACCCCACATGGCCACAGTGGAAAGCCTCAGGCAGATTTTTAACTGGCTTGGTAGTTGAAAATGTTTCCTAACTGCTTTCTACTGGGCAGCCTCTCCCAGCACCCCAAACCTTGAGTTTGTGGACTCTCTCTATTGCTCTGCATTCCTGTGTACACCATCTAACTCTTCAGTGGCTCCTCTCCTGACGTTACCTTGACAACGCAGCCAGCAGCAGCCACAAACACTGCTGACGTGCAGTTTTCCATCATCTTCTGTCCAGGTACACATTTATTAGCTTCAAAGTTGATTCCTCAAGCTGCAGGCTACACCTTCCCCAAATACAGCCCCCTTTGATGCCCAGTCAGATGGGTCTGCAGCCCCTATCCAGGCAAGACCAGGCCAGGGGCCATGGGGCCCATTCACACTTTGGTCAGGGAGGCACGAGGTGTCTGAGGCCACTTGCTATATTCATCAGCATAGATGAGGGCACAGCAGGTGACGCCTGCACACTCTGCACCCGCCACTCAGTCACCAGGGACTCAGTGACACAGCCGTTTGTGCTGGAGCCACAGCAGAGGGAAGGGAATGGGCTGAAAAGTGTCATGGCTCCCACAGCTTCCTTAGGATGTGTCTCGTGACATTTACATTCACACTTCTTTGACCAAATCCTGAGTCCCCACTGCAGAGAGGGGAGCCATGTTGAGGGCTGGGCCAGGTGAAGGAGCCACCAGGGTGAGCCGCTGGGCCTCAGGCTAGGGTGGGCCCTGGGGAACAGTCATGGGACGACTTCTCACTGGGTCTGTGCTCCTTTCCAACAGGCAAGTCCTCAGACAAGCTGCAAGAGGTGCAGGTGCCTCTGATCTCATCTTCCCTGTGCCGGCTGCTCTACGGAGAAATGTCAGAGGTTCAGTCGGACATGCTGTGTGCTGGGGACCTAAGAAATTGGAAGACCACGTGCGAGGTGCGTCCCACTTTGGGGGCAGGAGGCCACGCCTGGGAATTTCAGATGTTCATCTGCTTTGAGCTGGGGGGACCTTCTCCCGGGTGGGTGAGTGGTCCCAGACAGCTCATTCCTCTTGGGGGCCTGGGAGCACGTCACCATGTGGCCATCGGCTGGGCGAGACACCCAGAGTGGCTTATGTGCAGACGGGACACAGGCTCCACTCGGTGCCCAGTACCCTGTGGACCCAGTGCTAACCAGAATAGCCCAGGACTCCGCGTCCTCGTGTGGGCTGTGCCTGCTGACTCACCCCATGACAGCCACCCTCTGCTTGCGGGATAGCACGGTGAACGCGGCTTGCCTGCAGCAGAGCCTTGGCACTGGTGAGGTGGGGCCATGTGAGTGGGGCCCTGCCCCTGCCCCACAGGGTTGTCACAGGGTCCCCCTTGTGCAGGAGGCGGCAGGTCCTGAACTCCCTGCTCACAGGAAATTCCTCTTTCTTTCCAGGGTGACTCGGGGGGCCCACTCGTCTGTGAATTCGACCACATCTGGTTGCAAATTGGAGTAGTGAGCTGGGGCAGAGGCTGTGCCTACCCCATGTACCCCGCTGTCTATGCCCGTGTCTCCACTTTCTCAGAATGGATCCGTTCTCAGATAAAATACACACCCCCACCTGCTCAGCCACTCCCCAGTCTCTCCTCCACCCTGGGGGCCGCCGCCAGTGTCCTTGTGACCATGCTGGCCATCCTGTCAACGTTGTGAGGGCTGAGGCCCCCATTCCAGCTTCCTCACGCTGTGTGCCTATGTCCCTGCCCGGCTCAGCCACTCAGGTCTCCTCAGCTGAGCAAGGTGAGGCCCACTGGCCAGGGCTAGTGCAGGGTCGGGAAGTGGGGGGCACCGGGCCACACCTGGGAAGGCAGAGCCGTCGCACCACAGGAGGGTCAGGATGCCTGGAGAGCGGTGCATCCTGACTGAATGCTCTGGGCACCTGAGATTCAGTAAGATATTAAATATTTGCAAAGCAAGTGTCCTAGAAGTCCTGCGTCCATCTTTCCACCAGAGCGCAGGCTCCTCGTGCAGAGTGCCTCTCCCCGGCACTCAGCAGTCTGCTGGGATGACAGGCCGCAGGGTGAGAGGACATGGACAAACTGAACTGCAGCGTCTTACACAGTACAGCCCCCAAACGCTGGGCCTGGACCCAGAATCCAGGTGCCGCCAAAGCAGGGCAAGGGACGGTCGCCATTCAAATGCGCAGACCTATCAGATCAAACGGTTTTAAACAGCTCGAAAAAAATGGAAAACATGAGCTGAGAATAGGTACACGGAAAGAACCAAAAAGGTAAGAGCAGAAATCAAGGAGCCAAATACCAGAAAAGCACTCATTTTAAAAACCTGGTTTCTGAAAAAAATCAAAAAGGAAAAGAAATCACTAACTAATCAAGATAAAAACAAGACCAAGAATACACAGAACAAGAAATGACAAGACGGAAGTGTCCATTAGACACAGAAAGCTTAAGAAATCATAGAGATATTGTATTACAATGTAAATAAATTTTAAAAGTACCACTTTTTAGGAAAAAAAATAATTTACCAAAACTAACCCCAGTAGAGATAGAAGGTTTAAATAGACCAAATGCCATAGAAGAAATGGAGAAATTTAAGAAAGAACCCCCCCTCCCAGGAAAGCCCTTGGCTGAGACGGTTCCCTTGGGAATCAGGCCAGACCGCCCAGCACAGGGCGTCCCAGCGCTGCTGCACTGCTCCAGACATGGGCAAGGGGCGAGAGCCAGACAGGCCCCAGCAGCACGTGTGTGTGAAGACATAAATCTGGTCACACTGAAAAAGAAGATTAAGACAACCCAGCTTATGAGTTTAAAAATCCTAGTGAAAAATCAGCAAACAGAATCCAACTTTATTTTTCAAAAGTCGTACATTGTAATCAAGTAGGATTTATTCCAGAAATGCAAGGGCGATCAAATGTTAGGAAACTCAGAGACACAATTCACCAGATTCATTGCTTTGCTAACAAGAATAATATTAATGAAAAGGCTTTTAGCAAATTCAACACCCATTTCCAGCAAAAAAAGAAGATAGGAATCAATGGATAATAAGATATGTGTGCCTCAGCCTGAAGTGGGGAAATGCTGAGTGCATTTCTGCTGAAGTTAGGGTCTTCAAGACGATCTCCTTTATCTCCTGCTCTTAGCACATATTAGAGATGAGCCCCCAGCTGCACAAGAGAACCATCTAAGGGAGATGGAAAAGAGCCACTGAAACTACTCCTGTCTTAAAAAGACTTAGAGCCTGTCCAGACTACCCCAGAGAAAAATGTAAAACTACCAGAAACAGGAAGAAAATTCAGTGAAGTTACTACATAAAACATGACAAAATCAGTCTACCTTCCAGCTAGAAGATATGTAATGGAAGAGAAGACAACGATTATAACAGCAATGAGAAAGATAAGATACCTATGGCCTTAACGAGAAATGTGGAGGTCGGTATGAGGACATCTGTAAAATACTCCTGGAGAAAAACAAACAAAAGAAACACCCCAAAAAGTGGATTTCAGTGATGATAAGACATGCTCTATGCTCAAGCAGATCAACTCGAAATGTGTCTCTTTTCTAGAGCTAGATAAATTGATTTCAAAGTTTATATCAAACGTAAGCAAGAAAATCCAGGAATAAAACTAAACATGAAGGCCAGTGATGTGGCGAGAACTAGTCCAGCAGATATTAAATATCCCGTAATAAATAAAGATGCCACAATTATAACAGGCCACAAAGATTTGACAAGTCGTGCCTGTGCATACACACCAGTAGACAAAACACTCAGAATTGGGCCCAAGCTCTTGTGGAAAATCAGTGCATAACAAGTGTGTCAAATTTATCACCGCAGTTATTAAGTTTTTCCCAAAGTCCAATTCGCAAGGCCAGATAGAGTTGGTCCAAGAAGTAGTACACATCCTGACCAAGGAGATTTCTCCCAGGAAGTGGAGAATGATTGAACATTAGAATTTTTTCAGTGGTTCAAAGCAGAACCACATTCATCCCATGCATGAAATATGCACAAAATATGTGTTGAGCACTGGTGTGTGCCAGGCGCTGTCAGGGCCCTGGGGAGAGGCGGCACCAAAGCAATCAGTCTCTGCTGTCACTGGCCTTGTGTTCTGGCATGAAGCTGAGATGAAGCTGCAGTCAGGGCCAGAGCTGTGTTCCCATCACCGTGGTCTGTAACGTCTGGAACACTCAAGTGTTTTAACAGCAATTGCTTAAGACAAACTTAACTGCATTTGGTGTCTTTCCCTTCCTCTCCTCAGTCATCCTTCATTCCCATCAAGGGCCACTGGGGATCCAGCTAAGGGGGACTCAATGTTGGGTATATCTTGCTGCATTATACCCATTTACATGGCGTGTGTGTCCCTCTGCAAAGAGGTAATTGCCGGCCACCCGGGTGCAGCAACACTGCCAGCAGCGCTCAGGCATGCACTGTGTAGCACGGGGCACACTAGCCTGTGAGCGAGGGTTTAGTTCTTACCACATAGATCAAGATGGAAACTCTCTGCTGCCAGGATTACACTTGATAAGACAGTGTTTGCGTGGAAAACACACCACACACTTGTCCCTGTTGGATGGAATCGTGTGAAACAGAATTTGCCAAGCTCCTGTGTTGATGGGGCAGCAAACTGCTCAGCACTGACCTAGGGAGGTGGCTGCGGGCCTGTGTGCTCTGTGCATCCCAGCGGCCTTCCTACCTGGGCCCCTCCTTGGGGTCTGCCGTGGCGGAGTCACTGTTTCCTGTTGAAATAACTCCGAGAATTGCTGCAGATGCAGCCCAACTACCTGGAAAAGTAAGTGTGCCAGTGACACAACTCTGCAAACGTACGTCAGAGTCTGAGAGCAGCACTCAGCAGCTCAAAGAGACAACTTGAAATGCAGTCAAATTGTCCCTGGAGCTGCCTTAATTTCAGGTTAATTTGGACACTTTTTCAATATTGATCGCACTAAAATTCAAATAAAGACAGGCAAGGAGTAACCTACTTGAAACAACAACCAAGAGAAAAAAAAACCAAAAATGCAAACTGGAGAAAATGTAAAAGACTTCAAAGAGACAAAACCTCTCTTATTTTATCACAATGGACACTAAAGACCCTGATGGCAGGAATCACAGAGGAACCAAGAAGAGTGGTCATGAGAACCAACAGAGAGAGGATGGCGATGGTGAGAGAAGGGCTGAAGCAGCTTGTGAGGTCAGGAGAGGACAGCACACGAGCATGAGGGCCGTCCAGCGGGCGCAGCTGTCCTGATGAACTTGGCCTTGGAAAGGCCTGCGCGCCTCCTCTGGGATGTGGAAGTTCCCCAGTACTGTCCATTTGAAAGAATTTCTTTCTCAGGCATGATCCCAGTCATATTTACAGAGATTAAACAGAACAAACATTGAGAAGCTTTTCTAACTGACATTTGAGAAAATTTTAAGTGGGCAAACTCTTACGATATCTTGGTTACACTCTCCACGATTAAAGTTTTCACTAACTGTTCATTTTAAACCATTTTTCCTCCTTTTTTTATTGTGGCAAGTATACGTAACACGAAATTTATCGTTTTAACCATTCTTAAGTGCACAGTTAGTTCAGTGGCAGTAAGTCCATTTATACCGTTGTACAGCTGTCACCACCCTCCATTTCCAGAACGTCTTCATCTTCCCAAACTGAAGCTCTTCACCCGCTAACACTACCCCTTGTTCTCTCCTCCCCGCAGTCCCTGGCAACCTCTGTTCCACTGTCTGTCTCTGTGAATTTGCCTGTTCCAGAAACATCACGCAAGTGGGATGACACAGTATCTGTCCTTTTGTGCCTGCCTTATTTCACTCACTGTAATGTTTTCAAGGTTCATCCATGTTGTAAGGTGTATCAGAATTTAATTCCTTGTTAAGAGTGAATAATATTCCATCATATGTATATGCTACATTCTGTTTATCAATCATCCGTTGATGGACATTTGGGTTCTTTCCACCTTTTGGCTGTTGTGGATAAGGCTGCTATGAACACTTCTGTACAAATATCTGTTTGAGTCCTGCTTTCAATTCTTTTGTGTATCTACCCAGAAGAAGAATTATTGGATCATATGGTAATTCTATGTTTAATTTTTTGAGGAACTGCCATACTATTTTCCACAGCAGTTGCACCATTTACATCCTCAAAAGCAATGAAGGATGCAGGAGGCTGGCCCTATGGTCGAGTGGTTAGGTTCGTGAGCTCTGCTTCGGCAGCCCAGGTTTCACCGGTTCGGATCCTTGGTGCGGACATGTCACCGCTCATCAGGCCATGTTGAGGCGGTGTCCCACATGCCACAACTAGAAGGACCACAACTAAAATATACAACTATGTACGGGGGGATTTGGGGAGAAAAAAGCAATGCAGAAGATGTCCAATTTCTCCACACCCTCACCAACACTTGTTGCCTTCTGACTTGTTATCACAGCCGCTCTAATGTGTGTGTAGTGATGCCTCATTGTGTTTTGATTTGCATTTCCCTAATGATTAGTGATGTGAAATATTTTTTCATGGGTTTATTGGCCATTGCTTTGGAGAAATGTCCATTCGAGCCCCTTGCCCATTTTTGATTTGTTTGTTTTTGTGTTGTAGTTCTAGGACTTCATTATATAGTCTGGTTAATAATCCATTATCAGGTATGTGATTTGCAAATGTTTCCTCCCATTCTGTGGCTTGTCTTTTCACTCACTTTTTGGATTTTTTTTTATTGTGGTAAAATACACATAACATAAAACTTACTATCTTAATTGTTTTTACTGTACATTTCAGTGGTATTAAGTACATTCATATTGTTGTGCAACCATCACCACTATCCGTCTCCAGAACTCTTTATGTCTTGCAAAACTGAAACTCTGTACCAATTAAACAGTAACTCCCCACTCCCCTCTTGTCCCAGTCTGGCAATCCCCATTCTGCTTTCTGTCTCTAAGAATTTGACTGTGCTAGGCTAATTTGGTTGGAATCATACAATAT